CTCTCTCTCTCTCTCGTATCTACCTATCTCTCTCTCTCTCTCTATCCTCTCTCTTTCTCTCTATATCTATCTATCTATCTATCTATCTATCTATCTATCTATCTATCTATCTATCTATCCTCTCTCTCTTTCTCTCTCTCTCATATCTCTCTCTATTTCTATCTCTATCTTTCTCTCTCTCTCTCATATCTATCTATATCTATATCTATCTATCTATTTATTATCTATCTATGCAAGAAAACAACCAAGTTGAGAGAGCACCACCAAACAGTCCTCCTCCTCCTCCTCCCCCTCCTGCTTTCTAGTACTGACAATGTTACCTAGCTGGGTCATGAAACATCTGCATGAAAACCACCAAGCTCAAAGAGCCCGAAGGACCTCTCATGTCAACCCTGAGCTCCACATATTCTCTCCTATTGGTACCAAAAGTATGTCAGGGTATATTCATGAACTGGAATAGAGCATGGTAACAAGGTCAGCCAATGAATAGGCATAGCAACTAAATCAGCCAATGAGGACAGTTTGGAAACTGAAACTAGAATTAGCCTAGGCTGGAAACTGAAACTAAAAGTAGTCTAGGCGTGGCTCTGTGTTAAGCTCTGCAACTCTGCAGCTATGTTGAGATCTGAGTCTGTCTATTGAAGATGAGACTAACTTGCTTGCTTAAGACTGGAGTTCTGCTCTGAACTTGCAACATGTTTCTGCTTGAGTTTGCTCCATGTTGGAGAAATCTACAACTACTTTGTAAAATCTATTTATGTTTATAAAGACGTTAAATGAAGCATCAGCCATCTGTGTTTATTTTTCTGGTGCTAAATTATCGCCGCGAAAACTCTCAATAAAGTATTTCTCCCCTCTTTCCTTTTACTTTCTGGAAAACGAGGAAGGGTCCCTTCTGAAATGCTCCCCATTCTCTCCCTTCTTCTGTGGGCTGGGACACATTTCACACACACCAGACCTCCCCATCGGTGGCTCCCTCCATCTCCCGAGGTCATTCACGCAGACCATTACAATCCCACAAACGATTTTGCTTCAAACCAAAGAGCACCTCCTCAAACCACCGGCCACAGAGCTAATCGGCCAACAAAGAGCCGACTGACCTCTCAAATCGGTTGCCAGCCAAAACAAGAGCAGGTTAGAAACCAAAGGCTGGACGGATCACAACCCCAAACTTACAGGCTGAATGTAGCAAGGCTCGTGAAAGGGATCCAAAGGCAGAGGTCTTCTGAATTTGGCCACCTGTGGGGCAGAGTTCCCGTCATCCAACATGAGAGGCCTATGGGCAGATAGGAAGAAAGCCAGTTGAACCCCCCACATCCTGATGTGTGGCTCCCACAGCTTTATGACAGATTATTTCATTTATTGACGATGCCTTCAAGTTAGTCTTGGTGATATCTGGATTTAGAGGAGGTTTGCCATTGTTCGTTTCCTAGGGCTGAAGGACAGAGATGGGTCCAAGATCACCCATCTAGCTTTGGACATAAAGCGGGACTACAACTCACAGTCTCCTGGGTTTTAGCCCTGGTGCCTTTATAACTCCATAAATTTATGTACTTGTTATTTGTTTACTCAGAAAACGGAAGACTTCATCCTATTTTTAACTTATGAATCAGGTTAGAGACTGTGTGGACGTAGACTAGGTGGGGACAAATTCGCTGGCTGGGGAATTCTGGGAATTGAAGTGTGTACCTTAAAACAGGCTGACTGGGGAATTCTGAGGGTGAAAGTCAACTCATGTTAAAGTTGCCAAGTGTGGGAAAAAAAAAAAAGTCTTCCACTTATGACAAGATTGAGTGCAGCAGCCAAAAAAGCCAATGCAATCCTAAATTGCATTAACAGAGGGATACAATCAAAATCAAGGGAGGTACTAATACTACTCTATAAAGTAAGACCCCACCTAGAGTACTGCATCCAGTTTTGGTCATCACACTATAAAAAAAGATGTTGAGACTCTAGAAAGAGTGCAGAGAAGAGCAACCAGGATGATTAGGGGGCTAAAACACATGAAGAATGGTTGCAGGAACTGGGCCTGGCTAGTCTAGTGGAGAGAAGGACCAGGGGAGACAGGAGAGCAGCCTTCCAATATTTGAGGGGCTGCCCCAGAGAGGAGGAAGGGATCAAGCTATTTTCCAAAGCATCTTGAAGGCCAGACAAGGAATAATGGGTGGAAACTGAACAAGGAGAGATTCAATTTGTAAATAAGGAGAAACTTTCTGACAGTGAGAACAATCCACCCATGGAACAGAAGTTGCCTTCGGAAGTTGTGGGAGCATCATCAATGGAGGCTTTCAAGAAGAGACTGGACTGCCATTTGTCAGAAATGTTGTAGGGGTCTCCTGCTTGGGCGGGGGTTGGACTAGATGACTACAAGGTCCCTTCCAACTCTGATTATCTGAGCGCTGGTCCAATCTCTTTTCGTTCAACGATGGTTGGACAAGGATGGATAAACTGCTCCCAGAACCCCCCATACTGTTCTCAAGCCCCTTTCGGCCACCCCAGAGCATCCCACAAATGAGGTGGACCAAAAAAATACACCCCACCCCTCAAGGTGACCTCATTTCCATCCAATCCAGGTAGACCTCCCACAGAGCTATGAGTCAGAGCTGGTCCCATGGGGTGGGGTTGGGGAAGCAGCCTGCCTTGCCTCCATCACCCCAACCCTTCAGCATTGGTCTCCTCTCCGTCAGCCCAGCTTGCTTCCAAACAAAGGCCAACAGCAGCTGACTGGGTGGCTGTCCCAGGGCCCTGAATCAGCCAGTTCAGCAGCTCTGACTCATCAATTCCACCCCTGCTCAGATCCCCATGACCAGCTCTGCCCTTTGAAACAGCTCCATGCTTTGCAAGAGAAGAGAGACCCCCCCCCCCACCCTTTGCTCACGTAGGCATCACATGAGGGTGCTCACCGTTTTCTCTTTATCCCAGGGCTGTTGGGCCTGGACTGGAGCTGGCCAAATAGAAACTGAATCAGCTGTCGGGGAAAATATCAGTCAGCAGACAATAAGGCAGCCCTCCCCTCCCTCTCTCCCTCTCCCTCTCTCTCCCTCCCTCCCTCCCTCCATCTCTCTCTCTCCCTCCGTCTCTCTCTTTCTCTCCATCTCTCTTTCTCCCTCTGTCTCTCTCTCCCTCCCTCTCCCATCCCTCCCTCTCCCTCTCTCTCTCTCTCTCCCCCCCCCCCTCCCCCCCCCCCCCCCCCCCCCCTCCCCCCCTCCCTCCCTTCCTCTCTCCCCCTCCCTCTCCCTCCCTCTCCCTCCTTCCCTCTCTCCCTCCTTCTCTCTCCCTCCCTCTCTCCCTCTCTCTAACACCTGGTGTTCCCCTTCTGCTTGCAGGGACAACTTTCTGAATAGGCACCTAAGCCAGCACCTGCTTGGCCCAAACTGTATTTCCCTGTATTTCATTTTTTCTAAAAAGGCAACTGGATTTTCGTAGTTTTTTTCCTCTGAAATCATTTCGCTTCACACCCAAGAAGCTTCTTCAGTTCTAAATGGAAGAACTGAAGAAGCTTCTTGGATGAGAAGGAAACGTTTTCAAAGGAAAAAAGAACAAGAAAGTCCAGTTGTCTTTTGGAGGGGATAAAAAAAGCACCTTCGGCAATGGTGAACCCACAACTCAGGTAAAATCACAAACACGTGAAAATCCCAACCAGCATGAATAGAAAAAGCTGGTTTATCCCATGGGCCAGCTTGTGCGGATGGCTGAGATAATTTTGGTTTAAGCTAAATTCTACAAGTGAACATTAAGTCTTCCAAGGAGTTGACATTTGCACCAAGGCAAACACACATTTATTTATAATACTTGGAGACTTGCGCATTTCAAAATCAGAACCACAGGCAGCTCACAACCGCAATATAAAAACAAAATTGCACAAGAAAGTACCAGAAAACAAAAACAGAAGGGGGGAAAATCTGGCTCCATCATCAAACTCTTTTGATGCGACACACAAAAAACTCTGTACCAACTCCACCTTTATCCTGTCTCAGTGCTTGGGGATAGGGGGGGAAACCTCTCTCTTTATAACTTCTGGAAGGTTAAAATCAGATTTCTCAACGTTGGCAGCTTTAAGATGCATGGACTTCAATTCCTAGAATTCCCCAGCCAGCTAAGAATTCTGGGAGTTGAAGTCTGCATACATCTTCAAGTTGCCAAGGTTGCGAAACATTAATTAACGGATAGGGGCCTGCTGGTTCTCAACGAGAAAAGTGTTCTACAAAGCAGAGTCTTTATCCTAGGCGTAGTAAATGCACAAAGGAAGCATTGTGACTTGCAGACCCCAACCCAGAGTTTAGCATGAGAGAAAAGTCCTGTCATGCCCCTGTCAGAATCTGATTCTGATTGGGAGGCCAAGCAGCTGACAGGGAGTCAGAGTGTGGCTCCATTGCCTGTGGAGGAAACTGGACAAGGGCAAAGTTCGGGTGGGCAGAGCAGGGGAGAGGTAGAACAAGGGAGAGGGAATTCAGAGGAAGACCCAGGCCCACCCCCTCTTCATCTTAGGGCACGCAGGGAGGAATGGAGAAGGGAGCAACGTGAGTTGCATGCCTTACGGGATAGGAAAGGGCCCTGATTCCCTTCATAAGCTGCAGCTGGGAACACAGTGTTTAAAAAGGGAAGTTGCGCACAGCAAAGTTGTTGGGAGCAAGTCGTGAATTATCTGGTATCTTTAAGGCTTATCTAGGTTCCTGGCGTCTTCCCGACTGTGTGTATTTTGCTGGGCTTTCAAGTCTGCAATTCCTTCTCCTGCCCTGTCCAGTTAATTACTACAGTGTGATTTGTGTGGATTTTTATTTACAGTTTGTATGTACTTGGTTTTCGGAATGAATTTCCTCCACTTAAAGACTGTTCCTGGGAGAATTTTTTTCTCCAGCTGAAGGTAACCTGGACATTGGGGGCAAAGTTGGAGGTACTAAAGGGATGCTTCTTGCTTATTTGACTGTGTTGCCTTTGGGTCATCACAAGTCCAATTAAGGGTAGCTTGAGGTACAAGAAGAACAGGCAGAGCTGCGGGGGGCGGAATTAAGCATGTTATCAGTTTAGAAACTTTATGTTGCCACAAATGGTCCATGTCCAAGCCCTTTTGAATTCCATTGATCCTTATATGGCAAAAATTTAGTATTGAACTTTAATTGACTAAATTCTCACATATAGGCTTGAGCAATGAATCTTTGGACTGCAACTTAATGTCTGGTCCTAATCCTTCATGCCTGATCTTAATCTAGATTAATCTATCTAGATTAATCTATCTGTACCCAAGAATCTAGCCAACTAACCGTCAGTTCTAAATTGGCATCAAGTAAATGCCAATGGATTTCAAGAGGGGTTGGATTGATTCATTTGTGGGATCGTAATGATTCTAAGCTGATGACATGCTTAACTCCACTCCCCCAGCTCTGCCTGCTCTTCTCCTCCGTCTACTCGAAAGAAAGCCACTTAAGCAAACCCAAGCGTAAGCCCGCTACAGGTTGAGAATATGTCTCACTGGCGCTCCATCAGTCTCGATCCCCTCATTACCTTATTGATCACTTTCTGATGCTGCAAATGGTTTTGCCGGAGACACAGAACTTCTTTCCACAAAACCTCATTCTGCCTGAAAAGAGAAGAGTTATTGCACTAGCACCCAGTTGACTGAGGGCTCCTCAAGACCATCTAGAGGTTTGTATATATTTCTATGCAACCATGCTCAACCTGGGGGCTTAGACAAGTTCAGTTCAGCTGGTATCATTCCTCTCTGCCAGAGCAAGGATTGGATCAGACTCCCTGAGTAGTAAAGGCTGAAATACATGCAGTGGTGGTATTCCACAGGTTCAGCCCGGTTCTGCCGAGCTGGTAGCGCCGATGAGCAGCAGAGACTGAACCGGTTCTCTTCTGACACTCTGCTGTTGGGCCCACCTGCCCACCTGGGCTCCAATCTCACCTTTATCCTCTAAATTTGAAATGCAGCTGCTTTGCGCAGCACAGAAAAGTGCCGCGCGGCAGCTGCTGAAGCGACCGGGAGAGTGCAGGCTTGCACGAGGTGAGTTGGAAGGCCTCTACGCCTGCACAAAGTGGGGATCGGGGGATGCAATCCACTGACTAACCTCACTTGCGTGCATCACCCTCGGCCTCCTTTTCACTGTCAGAGGCCTTCAGGAACTTCTGCGGCTGTCAAGGCTTTCCTGAAGGCCTCTGCAGCTGAGAACAGAGATCTGGATCGATCCTACAGTTTCAGAGGCCTTCAGGGAAGCCTTGCTAGCTGCAGAAGAAATGAGCCGGCAAGGCAGGTGTCACGGTACACGAGGACTGGCTACAACTATCCAAAGGTAAGTAGTAGGGCAGCTCCAACCACCCCCATACCCACCCTAGCTTAATTTTTACCAGTGCACTCTGGATGGGCGGGATCTTAATTAGGGCTTATTTGTGGGGTAAGATGTCAGGCTCCGAGTCCACTTGGAGCCCGTTAGCTTCAAATATGCCTTGCCACAAGTCAGCTGGCCATGTGACCTTATCTCTGCTGCTGTCGGATCTGTATTTCTGCTTGTGTGCTGGCTGATGGCTTTGGAATGACTCAGCGGAGCTGAGGATGGATTCTGCAACAACTGTGGGGATGGAGGATGGATTCTGAAACAACCGCGGGGTTGCTAAAAATGGCTTTTTTCATGTATTGATGTGGTACATATTGTTAAAGGGGGTTGCGGGCACATATAGGTGGTAATTAAGCCTTTGGTGAAAACATGGTAAAGGTGGCACCAGGTGGGGGATCAGTTAGTGAGGGTCGGAATAGGGGAGGGATGCAGACATGTTATAGGGTTAATAGCATTTAGGGATAATGGGTTAGGCGTGGCCAGAACTAGAACTACATATAGGCCTGGTTGTGGGTTTTTTTGTCGCATGATAATGGTAATAAAAGGGAAACCCAACGCTAACCTTGTCTGGCTTTTTAGCCCTTCTTGTCAGAGAAGAGGATTTGTTGTTTGATGAGCTAATGAATAAACCACCATTGCACTACAAAGGAGCTGGAGTTTGTATTCATTTCAGGACAAATCTTCAATACTCAAGGACTGGCTGAGATATTGGGTGCACATGTAAAAAAACAATAAAGCTAGGACTTCCTTCCAGGGTAGGTCTTATTTTTGGGGAAACAGGGTACATGCCATGAAGTCCTGGGGTAGATGCCAGCCATGTTTGAAGGCCAGGAGATGGACTTACTGTTTCACATCCTGAACTTGACACTCCATCATCTCCTGCTGGTTCCGGAGGACTTGGATCTCATACAAGAGCCTGCTGAGGTCTTCTTGGCGCATCTTGGTCTCTTCACTTTTCACCACAGAGACCTGAAGGAATAAAAGAGGGGGAAGAGAAGAACAACAAACCCAGTTTCCCCTTCCCCCCGCTAAAAAAAAGGGAATGGCTCATCATAGCTACAGCTAAGTTTTGGTGTCCTCCAAACTCTAGGCGACTTTAAGACGTGTGGACTTCAACTCCCAGAATTCCTCAGCCAGCCATGGGGAACCCTGGGAGTTGAAGTCCGCAAGTCTTAAAAGGAGCCGAGTTTGGAGACACCCAGCTCTAGATGATAGGAAAATGGATGCTCAACACCTCTGAAAGGTGCCAGCTCAAAATCCCACAACACTGTTCTGCTGGAATATGTCCCACTGTCCGGTCCAACAGAGCGGGGTCATGGTTGCTGGAGTGCACAGAGAGAGAGAGAGAGAGGAACAGCGTCTCCCCTCAGGAAGGAGGGTTCCTTCAGCTGAAGAGTTAAGGATCTAAAAGGGTTTGGCCTCTTTGGAGGATGTGGAACATGTAAGTGTCAAGTGTTAAGGAAACCACCTTGAAATCCTTCTAGTCTTCCCACAAAGCAAACAATAGAGCTGAAATGTTTGGCCCTGCCCACTCTGGGCATACAAAGGGAAGTGCCTGGTGTGCTGCCAATGCAACATGACTTCCCCGCAATAAATGGAAGCAGGGACCGGCCACCAGCAGCTTTTTTGTGTGTGAAAAGGAAAATCGCTTTTCACAGCCGCACACAATCCAAACACAATCATCTTCTTTTAAAAACCCCATTATCCCTTGCGGGGTGGAGTTCCAGGCAACTGAATGGAGCTAGCAGAGTGTTTTGATGGCCGGATGCCCTTCCTGTCACCAATGCAGAGTTTTGTTCAGCAGATATATTCTCACTGTGCCCCACCTAGGATCGAACTCACAGCCTCCTGATTGTGAGGCAAGAACTCTATCTCTAGGCCACCCCACCACTCCTTTGTCCAAACACAATATACCCCCAAAATTCCAACAAGGGAACCGATTCCCAGCTCCCGTGTCATGCCCCTGGTGGAGACTGACTCTGAGGGAGAGGAGGAACAGCCGAGAAGGAGTGGAAGTGTGGCTCCGGAGGTTGTGGAGGAGGCTAGGGAAGGGCAGAGGCCGGCTGGGCAATCAGAGGAGGACACAGGCCCATTCCCTCTCCATCCTAGGGCATGCAGGGAGGAGAGGATAAGGGAGAAACGTGAGTGGTGTGGTCTATGGGGGAGGAAAGGGCCCTGATCCCCTTCATGGGCTGCAGCTATGACAACTGAATAAGAGGACGGACATGCTTACTGGCAAACACCGGAAACAAAGTGTGGAAATATCTCTAGTTTATGGTTCCTCTCTAAGTTTGGCATCCTTCCCAGTGTGTGTTATCTGTGGACATCCTGCAGCCCTTATCTTGCCTGGCTTGTGTTGTTGTTTTTCCCTCCTTCTTGTAGCTGCTCGTGTGGGAGTTTTTTTTGCCTTCCGTCAAGGATATTTGGAGCTTGGAAGCAAAGTGAAGGCATAAAAGGGGCTCCACTGGGTTTTTGTGACTGTGTTTATTTCGTATCCCCACCCTGGGTCATCACATCCTGGATGAATTTTGCCGAAGGTCAACAAGGCCTCTCCTACCTTCCTTTTGATCAGCTCCAAAAGATGTTCGTGGCCTTGTAGGAAATAAAGATGTTGGAATTCGGTATCATCACGTTCGGGTTTCACAAGTCCACCTTGTTCGATGTTTACCACTTTCCTAAACCCATCTACATGCAACAGAAGCAGAAAGACAACTGAAGGTTACCCAAAGTTTCACTTAACAACAATGCAGCTTGTAGTGACAAATTTTCTGCTCCATCTTGTGCTTGTAAGTTGAGGGCTCCATCTGTGCAAGAACTGAGCTACTAAGCTCCTGTTGCAGAACGTGATAAGAGAACAAGAGTTACTGTATAGAAAATTATGTACTTTCCCATTGCAGAGTAAAATTACAGAGCAAAATCAGACATCCATTTGTCTGTGATGACTATGGAGACGCTCAGTCATCCACGTCATGGACGTCCCAAACATGCTTTTTCAAAAGGCAACTGGACTTTTTTTTTTAAAACTCCTGAAGACATTTCACTTCTTATCCAAGAAGCTCCTTCAGCTCTGATTGAATGATGGAGAATGGAAGGATTTATAGTCCTTGCAATCATCTGGTCATTAGTACCCTTCCTGAGAGTTGTTGAGGCCACTTGAGGGTTTATTTGTGCCTTGAAGGTCACCTGAATAGTGCAAATGGGTGTGGGAGTGGAGTGGAGTGGACTGGACTGGACTGGAGTGGACTGGACTGGACTGGACTAGACTAGACTAGACTAGACTAGACTAGACTAGACTAGACTAGA